TCAACCAGAATTGACAGACATGGTGGGCAAATTTGTAGTGGCAGGTCTCTACTTTGGATAACTACATTATTATTTATTGCACTTCATTTCAAGAAAATCTGCAAGAATATGCTGTATTGACAAACCTTTCACAGTTTCTGACACCATGTCCATGCTGAGTAAGTGAATTCCATATGGTAAATCATAATTGTAAATAGGCAGGCCTCTACTACCCATTCCCCAGGTATCAGCCTAAGAAAAATATTCCTCGTTTGATAATTGTCTAGCAGATGCAGTCGCAACAAAACCATACATATTTCCACCAAGTTATTTCTCTTACTACTGCCACCTAACATTTTGTTGCTTCCGATATTAAGGAGGCCCAGAAATACACATCCCTGACAGTCATAAAACAGTAAAAGCCAGTTAGTTTCTAGACAAAGTAGAAAGTTTCCTAATCATATCTCACTTTTGCAAGGATGAGTAAGAACTAGGCTTAGAAATCCTCCCCAGGCTGTTGTGTGCCTAATGGTACAGAACTGAGTAGCAGTGAAGAACTATGGAAGCACAAAACCAGAAGCCAAAGGGGAGCAGACAAGGACTTTGGTAAATTTTCATTTCAGGGAACTTCAAAACATACAGAAAACTCCTGTAATAAAAGTGTTATTTTTCAGGCAGATGAATAGTTTGATAGGAGGGCGGTAAGAAATATGACTCTAGTAAAATGATGGTGGCAGAAATGTCTTCCAGAGCAAAGGCTTTGTTTTCTGAAGCACATTGAGCACATTCAAACCTACTCCTCCTTACTCATGGCACTGAGCCGGCTACTTGAGCCAAAGTCTTTTGCATTTATTTTAGTCTGATCACATGTTAAAAATAAAAACCTGGAGTCACATTTCTATGCAATTTAAGGACTCAGGTACACATTCAGCCAACTGAAGTTGTTTTCTCTGTTTTTTTTTTTGGATGGGGATCATAGCTAACACTATTATTTTCTGAAGAGATGGGATGTTCTGTGGCTGGGAAACTCTACTTTTACTCCATTCATCAGAAAACACCATTGGGCCTCAGGACATCAGTCAGCATGAAAGAATCAACAAAAGCAAGGAAAGTCTGAAGTGAAAGATGCGAAGTTCTTATTAGTTTTAGAATGATGTACGCGTGTAGGCCTGTTTATAGCATCAGCTTCAAAGACATGCAGAAGCCACCAGAAATATGGGAGCTTTAGGGGTTTTAGTCATTTCTTTAGAATGGCTCAGTTGTTTTTCTTTTTTTTTTTTTTTAAATGTTTTATTTATTTATTCATGAGAGTCAGAGAGAGAGAGAGAGGCAGAGGCAGAGGGAGAAGCAGGCTCCCTGCCTAGCAGGGAGCCCGTTGCGGGACTCGATCCCAGGACCCTGGGATCACGACCTGAGCCGAAGGCAGACGCTTAACCATCTGAGCCACCCAGGTGCCCCGGCTCAGTTGTTTTTCTAAAGAATAATGATGTAGCAACATTAGAAATGAGCTGAGTAAGACAGCTTTAGCAGGAAATAGAATAGAACTATGGTGAAAGAGGGACCGTTGGCAAGTGTTAATAGAATAGAAACAGTTGTATCATAAATGTACCACTTTGGAAAAGACTGACACTTAGGTGGCAAGTAATCAGAGGACAAGCCATAAAGTAGGCTCTATGGTTTCACTCTCCTGTGGAACTGGAAATCTCACCATTTCATAATAGCCTGCCTCATGAAAGATTGTACAAATATCATATTTCAAATAATTGCTAAACTCTTGGTAGTATCTGAAATTAAGAAATGTTTTTAAGTTACCCCACATTTATGCTAACCAGAAACATCCTGAACTCTGGGAAATTTAAAAAGAATAAAAACAAACTGGTACAGGCTTATATATTTGGCTCATAACAGATATTTGGTAAAACAGGCTGAGGTCCTAAAACCTTATAACCAGTTATATGAGATTCATTGAATTAAATGGGGCAAGAGGTACCATGATGGGTTTTTAAATATTATTTGAAGAATTGAAATGTTTCATGTGGAACAGACAGATTTTTTTTGTATGAGCTCACTCAGGTGGAACCAGGACCAGTGTGTGTTAGCTCCAATAAGACAGATTTTTTCCCCCTAATAGTTACTTTTAAGTTACTTTTTAATATTAAGAGCATTTCAAAATTCAGATTAGGCTAGTTTAAAAGAAAAGTTATTAAAGAACCTTAGTAGAACAATAGGAAATAAATTTTTAAGAAACAGAAAACTTCACATACAGAGGAATAAATTTAACAAAAGATATGCAAGACCTATACACGAAAATGACAAAAGATCAAAGAGAAATAGTAAAGAAGTCCCAAAGAAATGGAGCGATATACCTTGTTTTTGGATCGGGGGACTGGATATTGTGAAGATGTCATTTCTCAGAACCAAACTGGTCTATATCCAGCAGTAATCTCCGTCTCTAAATCCTAGCATTTTTTTTACAAGCTGATTCTAAATTTTATATGGAAACGCAAAGAGATAAGGATAGCCAAGGCAGTCTTGAAAAAGAACTAGATCACAGACATCAGGACACTTCTAAAGTGGTGGTAATTAAAACCTATAGGTTGGTGTAAAGAGACCAGTGGAACAGAGTAGAGAATCTGGAGACACACGTTTATATTTATGGGGAACCTGGCCCTGCATGCAGTACAGTGGGGAAGGGATGTCTTTTCAATCAGTCATGTTTGGGGAATTAGAAATCCACATGGAAAAAAGCATTAGGAATGTCAAGCCTTATCTCACCCTGTACTAAAATAAAGTTCAGCTAGATTGTGAGGGTAAATCATGAAGTACTTAGTGGAAAACAGAGGAGACTAACTTTAGGACCTTGAAGTAAGCAAGGATTTCTTCAGTAGACATACAAGACTGTATTAAGGGAACACAAAGGAAGACGAGAATGGGAGATGTTAATAAGGATGTATTTCCAGCAAAGGATTCCTATCCAGAGTATATATAGATAACTTCTACAAATCAGTAAGAAAAATGCAAGATGACCAAATGGAAAAAAAAATGGGCATAAAACATAAGTATTTCACAAAGGAGGTTCCCCATTTGGCCAATAAACTTGGGAAAAGATTGTCAACTTCATGAGTCATCAGACAGATGCAATTATAACCACAATGTGATACCATTCAAATTCATAGCAAATTCATTTAACCAAAACGGTTAAAATGAAAAAGGTAGACAATACCACATGTTACTGAGGATACACAGGATTTGTAACACTCTTACACTACTAGCGGATGCATATCGTGCAACTATTTTGGAAAACTGGCAGAATTTGCTAAAGTTGAATGTACACAAACACTATAAGCTCCAAGTTTCACTCTTTAGTATGTATATACAATAGAGACGTAGATATGTTCAGGAAAAGACATGTACAAGAATGCTCATAGCAGCACTGTTGGTAATAGCCAAAAATTAAAAACAACTCAGCTGTCCATTAATTCCAAATTAATTGTGTAATATTCACAACAATGAAAAACCATACAGCCAAGAACAGGTGAGGTACAACCACAGACAGCAAGCAGTGTGGACGAGCCTCACAAACATGCTCTTGAAAGAAAGAAGCCAAACACCAAGGTTTTCATCTAAATGTAATTCAGAAGCGGGGTAAAGAACCTATGGTGTTGGAAGTCAGGAAAGGGGTTACCCTTGACGGCTGGGGTGTGATTAGAAGGGGACACAGGGAGGCTCTTGGTGTACTGCCATGTTGTTTCTTGGTCCTGGTGTTGGGTACCTGGGTGTGTTCACTTTGTGAAAATTCTTTGAGCTGTACACTTACAATTTGTCTACTTTTCTGTAAATCTTACTCTTCAAAGAAAAAAACCTTAAAATATTCTTAGAGATACAAAATAGCTTAAAATGTTCTCAGAGATTCAAAAGCCTAAACTAGATAACCATTTGGCAAAGATAGGTGTCATTGTAACTGTGAGCTGGAATAGGGGTAGAGGAGAGTAAATGTTAGGGGAGGTGCCTTTCTTCTGATGGGCTTTGAGTAAGTAGTTTTCAGAGAAGATTTATGTTCTAAAGAATCTTAAGGAGATAATTATTGACAAGCTGTAGGAGTCCCAGTGACAATAAAATCATTTGCTAAAAAATGGCGATTTTAGGAGAGTGGCAGTAAATAGGCTTGGATTCAGGAGATCTGGCAGATAAATGGAATATTCTGTACCTTTAATTTTGATCTCCACGAATATAAGAATGACAAAAGCATTTGCCTTTCTATGGTTTTATTTTTATTGCAGTAATTTCATATCCCTGTCAAAAAAATAAGTTGGCTATTTATTTTTTATTTTTTAAAAGATTTTATTTATTTATTTGACGCAGAGAGAGAGAGAGAGATCACAGGTAGGCAGAATGGCAGACAGAGGGAGAGGGAGAAGCAGGCTCCCCACTGAGCAGGGAGCCTGATGCGGGACTCGATCCCAGGACCCCGGGATTGTGACCTGAGCCGAAGGCAGATGCCGAACCGACTGAGCCACCCAGGCGCCGTAAGTTGGCTATTTAAAAAGTCAACGTGATTGGTAAACAGAAACTGAAAGAAGAATGCGGGACTGAGATAAAAGGGAAAGAGATATAGTAACACAGGGTAACCACAGTGGCTGGACTTGAGCACCCAACTTGGCCATTACCTTTAGGACATCCACAGCTGAAAGGGAAACCAAACTATTTCCTGAGGTGAGAGGCAAGTATCTTCCATGAAACATTAAAGAGGCAGCTTTGCTAACGTGACACATCTTCCATAATGGGTAATGCAGCAAGCATGTGAGTTGAATGTACGGGTTGTTTCTTAGGGTGACCTTCAGTAATGAAAAAGGAAAGTGTAATTATTCAGTGAATATGATGTTGAAAGGAAGCAGTGCTTTACCTAGGCGCCCCCCCACACACAAACTCATTATTTGGGGGAGACATATGGCATTTGGGGCTTTTTTTTTTTTTTTTTTTGCTGCTTTTTCAGAGTGTGATTTCCCATTGTGTCAATCAAGCAGGTGCCCGGGAAGAACCTAGCATTCAGCAGGCGCAGCGTCGATCGGCTGTCTTTCTGTCCTTCAAGTCTCCCATTCCATGTCTGCCGTTACGCTGGGAGCAGCAGAGCAAACTTCTTCCCACCGTAGCCGGGATCCCTGCCAGTAAAGTTTCCAAATGGAGCACAGATGAGGTATATATTTTATTTCCTTTGTCTGCCAGGGACCGGATGTAGCAGTAGGTCCTTCAGGGGTGGGTACAGTGAATGCAAGTGGGGTTGAATCTTTTTCTCTGAAAGAGAAGAAATTGTTCTGAGAAGACCAACTAAAACATATAGGAGAAATATTTTGAACCTGTAGCACTTAGATTCTGACTTCTTTTTTTAAAATGGGAATTTTCATCTTATTTTTGACAGGTGTCAGAATTCATACAGAGCTTACCTGGGTGTGAAGAACATGGAAAGGTATTTAAAGATGAAGTAAGTATTCCACTAAATGGCAGTATGTTACTTAATGGGATCAAAGCACTGAAATGCAATGAATGGTGAAATACTTTGAATTGGCAGAAGAGGGAAGGAATGGATTGTGTCGAAATTGACAAATTGGTATGGAGTTGTCTAAAAAGCAGTATTAGTCATTTGTATGAAAATGTCTTTGTATAAGATTAGATGCAGGGTGCCTGGGTGGCTCAGATGGTTAAGCATCTGCCTTCGGCTCAGGTCATGATCCCAGGGTCCTGAAATCGAGTCCCGCATCGGGCTCCCTGCTCCTTGGGAGCCTGCTTCTCCCTCTGCTTCTCTCTCTCTCTCTCCCTCTCCCTCTCTCCTCCTCTGTCTCTCATGAATAAATAAATAAATAAATCTTTAAAAAAAAAAAAAAAGATGAGTCACAGATTCTGAAGAAAACGCATTTTCCTAGAACTTATAGTGATCCAGCTACAAATTAAAACAACAACAAACTCTGCAACAGAGAGGAACAGGTACCTTGAGGGCACTCAGCTCCACTAGACGTCTGATGCCAATGAAGACGGTCTCTCCTGCTGCCCTTAATCAGAGGACCACACAGCGTCAAATCTGGAGAGGCACCGGCCAGGTTGAGATACTGCCTCTGCCTGACTGGCTAAATGTCCTTTGGCAAGGTACTTGAATTCTCTGTCTCCATCTCCTCGTCTGTCAAGAGGTAAAATACCACCCATCTCCTAGGATTAAAGTCAGGGTTAACTCTATTCACACAGGCAAAACATTTTTATTTATTTTAAAAGATTTTATTTATTCATTTGAAAGAGAGAGAGAGAGAGAGA